CTTTATATATACAAAGTATTACTTCTTTAGGTTGTTTTATCAAATAAATTTGTATTCTGATTACTAAGTAATGTAGTTATTGTAGAAACTTTAGAAAGTACACAAAGGCATAAAAATGAACTTCTGTTTCAAATAATGACCATCAATTGAAGATAGGTAATTAATTTTGTTTCCACCACAGACTGCATTAAAATAACAGGAAAGATTTTTTTTTAAGTGCATTGACTCACAAGGATACAGAAAACAAGAGAGGAGACAACAGCCACAATACTTTGGAAGCTGGAAGCAGATGGTCTTGTAACAGATTTAGCAGATGTGAGGAACAAACCCGTTAGCGTGATAGAATCTCTCAAATTCCCAGGAATTGGTGGCAACAGATATCATCTGGAAGCTGGAGTAAAAGGAGGCTAAAGTCATCTGTATCGGTTGAAAGCTATTTAAGAAGCACTTTCATCTCTCAGTCCCCTCCAAAGCCTTGGCAGACCAGAGATACTTGTGTTCTGGAGATGATGAAAAGAGATACTCTATACTAGGGGACACAGACACAATTGAGTGAGTAAATAACACCTTCAGACTTCATGTCATCCTCCCATACACTGGCAGAAAGGCCCCTACTCTCCAGATGAAGCTGGAAGTATCTTCTGGGGAGGGTCTGACCAGCCCAGGTGACTTCTCTGCCGAAGTGGACCAACAGGCTCATCCGGTGGTGATTGTGTAATGAAGAGGCACCAACTGTGCCCTCAGCCTCCACTCTGGTTTTGTGGTAGTGGTTGTTTGCCAGTGCCAGATATGAACAGTTATAGATATTTGAAGAAGAACTGTAAATGAAAGAACCCAAATCAGACAATAAAGTGAGTTAAAAGACATAAATACTTTGTAAGAAGAGAAAAGCTGTCAAGAAATTGTCACTCATCTATTTGGAGAGGTAAGGAAAGAAATTGCATCCACAAAAAAAAAAAAACAGGGTACCATTAAGAAAAGGAAGATTTAGAAAATAGAGCTTTTGGAAACTGAAACTGAAAACACGAAAACAGAAATGAGAACTTCTACAGAAGAATCAGAAGGCAGAATTGAAAATTCTCAGAAATTAGAGCAAAAGGCAAAAAGATGAAAAATACAGTAATGTAAGCAAATTAGAGGATCAGTCTAAGAGGTCCATCATCCACATAATAAGCTAGAGAGAGAACAGAGAAAGTGAAGGAGAGGGATCAGGCAACAAAATTATCCAAAGCATTTCCCCAGAACGCATGAGCATAAAGTTACAAATTGAAAGAATCCACTGAATTCCCAGCACAGTAGATCAAAACACACACACACCAAGACACTATCATTGTGAAAGTTCAGAACATGGAGGGAGAAATTCCAGAATGGCAAAAACCAAAGCAACAGACATGTCAAAATCAAGGAATCTGGAATTTGAATACCAGACTTCTCAAAAGCATCACTGGAAGCTAAGGCAATGAGCATGACCTTCAGAATTCTGAGAGAAAATTACAGTCCACCAAATTCCTTACCTAGTCAAACTTTTAACCCAGTGTGTGGTTACAGTAGTCATTTTTAGACATCAAAGCCATCACAAATTTATTTCCCAGAAGCTACTTGATAATGCCACACCAAAATGGAGTAAGCCAAGGAAAAAGGATGTGGGATCCAGGAAACAGGAGAGCCAGCAAAGGAGAAAAACCAAGGGGATGAATAAATGCCCAGAATGGCAGTGGAATGAGATCATAGGCAAACCAGGCAAGTCAGTCCAGATGTGAGCATGGGAGAAGGTTATAGATGAGCTTTCTTCAGGAATGGTGAAGTTGATACAATGCATGATATATCTTCACTTCTTGAGAGGAGAGTTAGATAATGGATAGGTATTTGTGCATTGAATTAGTTATGAGTACATAGAATACACAGGTGGAAAAACCCAAGGTACTTATCACTCCAGAGAAAATGTTGTGCAGAAAAGAAAAATTAACACATGTAGTTCACCTCTAAATACTTTAACATCATTACAACAATAGAAGTTTTTCTATATAGCCATATTTGGAGGATGGGGTGATGGGAAGATGTGAAAGAAATGGGGTGGGGTGTGTGTGTGTGTGTGTATGACGTTGACAGGAGGAAAGAGGGTCAAATCTTCATTCTCCATAGGAAAAATTTATATATAATACTGAAACAGAAAATTGAAAGGTAGCAATACAATCATGCCATTTAGCTCTCTAGTGTTAATCAGCTGAAAGAGTTAAGGAGAAGGAAATTGGTGACACATAGGAGAAGTGACTGATAGTTTCATAACACATTTAAAAACTTTAAGTCTTTATATGCATGCATAATTTTGATACAAATAAAATTAGCAATTGCTACTGTTATTTTGTTGCACTTTTTATGCATGTACGCACACATTTTCTGAGTGGTTCAGGGCAGGTGTTGGGCTGGAGCTTGGGAATACAGAACAGATGAGACCAAGCATTACTTTATCCTGTGAAAACTTTCTCTAAAACACTGAAAAGTAAATCTCCAACACATGGCATAAAAATGATGGGCCATACTTCACATTTATGTTGGGGTGCAGTGTTGTAGTTTAATTTTTAGCTAGTGAGATGGTTTTAAAATCAACCAAAATTATTACTCATAGTACTATGCTCAGCACATGATATCTGCTGTCATTACAGTCTCACACATTCCCTAAGAAGTAGATATTATCGTGAGTCTCAGAAGGGGCAAGTAAATTGCTTAAAATCTTACAGCAATTGGATAGAAGAGCTGGGATTCGGATTTGGTTCTCCTTCATTCCACATCCATACCCCAGATTGTGATTGATTGAAACATTTTTTCAGTTAATCTGGTATTTGCAGTAAACAAGATTAAGTGTACATTTTTGAGGAAGGCAAAGCTAATATAAAGACCATCTTCAGAGAGCCTTGGCATAGGGAGGTGTCATTTCTTTGAAAAATATATAAGTAAGAAAAGCTCAATAGCATAGGGTATTCAGTTTCCCCTGTGAGGGAGATTTCAGCTGAGTGAGTGTGCAAATTCACCAGTAGATTCTACACGTAGGTAAATTAGAATTCATTCAGCATCTACCAAGAACCCCCTGAATCATGCCCTGAGAGCTTCAAAAATGAATAGGACACTAACATGTATGTGCATCTGTTGCACTGTGGATGTATACGAAATGTTAAATTCTGCTTTGGCTTGAGACCTGACCTCGTATGATTAGAATGACTATGTATTTACCTACCCATCTTTTATTCGTGTTTTGGGCCATGGTAGCTTAATATTTAGAAGGCTGGATATATTCTTTATAATGAAATTTCATAAACTTAGGATACATGCTTCTAGACCAGCCTCTCCCAAATGAGTTCTGCAGTGCACTGGTCCTCCAAAATGTGTGTTAAATCAAGAGGTGACTGTTCATGTATATCTGGAGAACCTGGATGTACTAATATCCTCCTTTTGGAGATTTGCAATCACATCAGCATATTAGAGCCTCTGAGATGGCTTTGAATTAAAGAACCATATTTTAACAGAGTTGATACAATATTTTTTAACATGGATTTGATACAATATTTTTTAACATGGATTCATTGTAGTTTTTTATGGAACACAGTTTGGGAAACACTGGACCCCAGGTTATTTGCTTTTGCAGAAAATTCATACATTGTGACCTTTAGGCCCCATTGACTCTGATTTGCTGTGATTTTACAGTTTGATAATCAGTTTCATGTCACTGTCTTGAAAAGTGCTAGAAGAGTAGATTTCTAACTATGTGTGGTAATATACACGCTAATTAGCTTGATTTAGCCATTTCACAATGTGTATATATTTTAAAACATTTTGTTGACGTGATAAATATCTACAATTTTATCTGTCAATTTAAAAAAATTAAAAAATTTAAAAAGATTTTATTGTGACTATCATATTTGAAATGTAGTTTGGTCCTGGTAGAGTGGGAGCAGAAAAAAAATAGATGGTTTGGAAATACATAACCAATCATTATAAATATTTTCTAATAAATTGTTTCAGACATTCTATATATTTATATATATCTGTTTATATATGTATGCATATGTAGAAGTGTGTGTGTGTATATATATACATGTTGTGTGTGTGCAGGTGTGTCCACAGATACATATGTACTATATATGCATAATCCTGAAATATTGCATAGTAATATAATTTATTAAGGAAAGGAGGCTATTTATTTTGTTGTATTATTTTGTTCTTTTTTTCCAAAGGACATTGCCCAGAAGGAGATCATTTAGATTGTTTCCACTTTCTTTTGCAGTGAGTGTCCTTACTATAGACTCTTTGTATCCTGACTGGATAATTATATGTCTATTATAAGTTCCTAGAATTCCAGGTCCAAAAGTATATGGATTCTAAATTTTAATAGAGATTTATTACCTACCTTAGGCAACTAATAAGACTGCAAGTTTCCCACTGCCTTTGCTGGCAATGCTAGTTCAACATCGAAAAGTTCAGTATCATTGAACTAAAGTCTTAGCTGATGTTGTTTTCCTATATGAGAAGCACGTTATTTGTTATCTCAAACAAGCACTATTGTCATATATATAATTCTGCATTTCTTATTTATTTAATAGCATTGTAAGTCACTTGGGAATTAGGAATGAAGGGGTCTGTGTGCTCTTGAGTTACCATCCATCTGTGATTATTATATGCAAAATGAATGACAAGAATTTTATTTTTATTTATTGTTTGACATGATATACAAATTTTTTGTTTGTAAAATAGTACAAGCATTATTTATTTTGGATGAAAGTATTTATTTCTGTGAAATTCTGCATTAATAGGTCTGCCATAGAAATAAATTTTGTGGAAAATTTTGTGGGAAAATTGCAGAGATAACAAATGAGCACGAAGATGTTTGAAATTTTTACGTTTTCGTATGAAATTTTTAGTTTTTACTGTCTTGTACTGTAAAAAGACTTTCAGTCTGCTGTGGAAGAATATCAGTAACATAATTTATTCTTTTTTGTTGCCTAAAGGAGGAAGACAATGGTCTTATAGTGCCCATGGATGAGAAAAGGAAACTTTTGAGCTGCACCTTCAGTTTATCCTCAAAGCCTGCGTTGTCTTCATCTAATCCAGCTTTGATGGATGTCTGTGATGGTTGCCTGTACACTTGCTGAAATGAAATATTAGAAATGGCTGTACATTCCAAAGAAACCCTATATTATATATCCACGTTACTGCTGCTAGGATTCATATTTGCACGTACTGTTTATTGCTTATGTGTAGAGGGAATGAAACTAGTTTCCAGAGTTGTTATTAATCTGAATATATATCATGTGTTAATATTGAGAAAGGAAAAATACATTCCCAGTGTTAGTAGTTCTTTATTTCCTGTCTCCAACAGAAAATTAACTCATTTTAAAACTAGTGTAATTCTTGATAATAAATTAAGAGTTTTGATTAAGAACAGCAAAGAGCTTCAAAATGCAAAGTGAATGATTAGTAAAATTATGTCTCATTTTATTTTTTCAGCACCCATACCACAATTAACGTTAGGCTGGATTGCCATGGGAAACATTTTTTTGGTGTTAATGCAGCAACATAATACTCACTTTATGTATTACTACATAGTTAAAGGATTTAACTGAATGTATGAATCAAATTATATTTATTTGACCTATTCAAAGCTGTGGTTTATAGGAATTTGAGAAAGGTATAAGAAATAGGATAAAAAGAAGGTCACCACCATGTACCAGGAATAGCTTTACTTTCCATAAATAGAAATATAAATTTAATGGTATCCTATATTACTTTAGTGTTGTATACTTTGTAAGACTTAAAAATATTTTATTCTATTGATTCCACTTCTTTAGTATGTTAAGACATTTCTTTAAAGATGACCAACAATATCCTTATTTTAGGTGCTACTAGCAAATGTAAGCATATACTTAGTTGCAGTTAGATGTGACAGAATGAGATAATTTATGTAAAGTAGTAGAGTGCCTGGCACAAAGCAAACAATAAATGTTATTGTTGTTATAATTGTAAAATGAGTGACTTCAAAAACATAGTCCTAGTTTGGAGGGATTTTGTGATGAAGAATATCTAAGTTATAGAAATAGAAGACAGGTGGAATAAGTATATGTTCAGAGTTTTTAGATGTGTTGAGTAGAGATGGTAATAATGGAAGCATTAATTACAAATGAAAATCACACCAGATATCCCTGAAATGGAAGCAAAGAAGGTTCATCGTCTAGTCTTGGGCAGCAAGAGAAAGGACTAAGGCTATGGCAGTGTGAGGAAAAGTCGGGGCTTGGTAAGGGTTGAGATCTGTTGGTAGCCCTGGATCACATGGGGGCAGCACCAGGCAATAACTCTGAAAGCAGAGCGAGGTCCTGGACTTCCCTTGTGTATAACAGTTACTAGTGTCCTACAATGAGGAAATGGCAAAGCATGGTTAGAAAACTGTGACAAAAATTTTTACATCTGGCACTGTTACCACTCACATGCCAAACATTGTCTGCACCGGTGTAGCCTTATTTGTAGTTAACATCAAAAGACTAGATCTGAAGCCTTCCATGAATGAGAGGCCATTCATAGGGCATTTCTGAAACAAAACACTGTACAGGTATCAGCCTCTCCACTCCTGATCGGGTTGGTGCTGAACAGTCAGGGATTGTTCTTGGACTAGCCTTCTGATGCTTCTTGCAGTCTCCTTTCATCTGTCCCTGAAATACACAAAATAAACAAATATAATAACAAATAGTAATTAAATGAATTTCAGGATAACGTCTAGTTGTTCGGATTTCACCCTTCACAGGTGTGTGTGTGTGTGTGTGTGTGTGTGTTTATGTCTGTGTATTGAAGCAATTTGAATTTATTTACTGTATGTTTTCTGAGTAAAAGACTGAAATGAACTACTTGGTTCAGATCTTGGTTTCCATTGGTGAGATTGTTTGGAGGCTTAATATTGTTTATATGGAAAATCCTTTAATTCCACAGTTACCTCAGATTCAGAATATGAATACTGTTTATAATATGCTTTTGTAGGAATGAATTTGAAAGGTAGTTTGTCAGTAAACAAAAGTACAACAACTAATCTCAAATCTGTTTTAATGGTGTGATAGGAAAGAAAAGTAAAACCTATGAAATGGACCCTGTAAATGGGGAAGGAATCTCCCAAAGAAAAAGTAGGGGAGAATTAATGACAAATGCCATAGATCTTGAAATTTAATTTAGGGTGTGTTTTGTTTATGAAACAATTTAATAAGGCAACAAACTGAAATGATTTTTCATGTAGCCTGTACACATGTAAGTGCCTCTGATTTATGGTAACTAATGTACCTGATGGTGTGTAAAGTAATACTGTTGTCAGAAGGTTTGCAATTAAGATAATTTGAGTTTACTCTTTTTTTGTTGGTCAGTTTAGCTAAAGGCTTGTCAATTTTATTGACCTTTTCGAGGAACCAAAGTGGATTTGGGGGTTTTCTCTATTGTGTTTCTATTCTCTATGTCATCAATCTCTGCTCTAATCTTATTATTTTCTAACTTCTGCTTGCTTTATATTTAGTTTGTGTCTTTTCCAGTATCTTAAGGTGGAAGGTTAGGTTATTGATTTGAATTCTTTTTTGAATAAAGGCATTAACAGTTATAAATTTTCCTCTGAGCATTGCTTTAGCTGCATCCAATAAGTTTTGGTATGCTATGTTTTGTTTTCATTCATCTCAAGGTCTTAGAAAATACTTTGCCTTTTAATTTCTTTTTGATGCAATGGTTACTTGGGAGTGCATTGTTTAATTTCCACATATTTATGAATTCCCAAATTTGTTATTGGTTTATATTTTTTTTCTGTTGTCAGAAACCATACTTTATATGATCTCAGTCTTGAATTTATTGAGGTTTGCTTTCCGGCTTAGCATATGGTTTATCCTGCAGAATATTCCATGTGTACTTAAGAGTATCTATTGTACTGTTGTTGGATGATGTGTTCTGTAGATGGCTGTTAGGTCTATAGTATTGGCCTGTTGTGTTGTTCAAGTCTTCTATTTCCTTGTTGATCTGCCTATTTCTGTCTATTATGAAAGTAGCGTATTGGATTCTCTGACTGTTGTTGAATGATCTCTTCCTTCAATTCTGTCAGTTTTTTTCTACATTCATTTTGGGACACTTGTCCTTCTTTATCTCTAGTAACATTTTTAAATTTTAATGTATACTTTGTCAGATATTAATATAGCTACTCCAGCTTTCTTATAGTTGCTGTTTGTATGATGTATCCTTTTTCATCTTTTCACTTTCAACTGATTTATATTTTTGAATCTAAAATGTGTCTCCTGTAGACAGGTGGATCTTGTTTTTGTGTTTTTGAAATCCAGTCTGACAGTCTCTCTGCCTTTTAATTGGATTATTTAACCCATTTGCATTTAATGTTATTGTTGATATAGTTGGATTTGTGTCTGCCATTTTACTTTTTTTCTACATGTCTTGTGTCTTTTTGTTGTTGTTTGTCTATTCCTCCTCTATTGCTTTTTATTTAGTTAAGTGAATATTTTCTAGTATAATATTTCAATTTCTTTAATGATTTTTTCACTTTTTTGAGTTTATTTTCTCATTGGTTGCTAAAGGGCACATAATATACTTGTTAATTTATCAGAATCTATTTCGGATTTATAATATATTACAGTGAGTTATTTAGTTACTACTAAATAGCTGTGAACTCTCTTCTCCCTTTTTGTGCTATTATTGTTATACATATTACATCTATACATGCTGTAAGCCCAACAATACTTGTAAATTTTTTATTTTATATACTTGTATGTATATTAAAGAAGCAAAGAAAGGAGAACAAATTATATTTATAGAATTTCTTCTAGTAAGCTTTTAATTTACCATTTCTGGTTATATTCATTTTGTCTTGTAAATTTGAGTTACCATCTGGTGTCATTTCTTACTCCACTACTTATTTGTTCTTATTTACCTCCTTGTGTTGTCATTGTCAAATATGTCACGTTTGTATATGTTCTGGCTCTAAAGTGCTGTTACATGATATTTTATACAGTTGCTCTTTGAATAAGAGAAGGAAGAAATATGCATTTATACTGTCTTTTATAATTACATAATTACATTTACCAGTGCCCTTTTTTTTTTGGGATGGAAAAACAAATTCAAATTTGATTCAAATTATATCTGGGGTCACTTCGTTCCAGGCAGAAGTCCTTTTTTTAAGTATATTTTTATATAAGGCAAATCTGATATGGGCAAATCTTTAGTTTTTGTTTTTATGGACTATATTTTACCTTATTTGAGATAGTTTTGCTAAATATAAAACTCCTGGTGAAAAGTTTCTGTTTTTGGTTTTGCTTTCCTAGCATTTGCTGAGATACCAGCTATTGAAAGCTTAATGAGGTTTCCTTCTACAGGACAAATCCTTTTTCTGTTTCTGCTTTCCAAAAAAAAAAAAAAAATGTTTCCCCCTCCAGAATTCATACTATGATGTATCTGGGTGTGAGTCTGGGTTTATTCTGCTTGGAATTTGTTGAGCTTCTTGGGTATGTAGATGAGTGATTTTTTTTAGAAAAAAATTAAATTTGGGATGTTTGAGCCATTATTTCCTTGAATATTCATTTCCACTTCTTTCTTCTTTTCTTCTGGTACTCCCATTGTGCATGTATTAATGCACTTAATAGAGTCTCATATTTCTCTGATCTTCTGTTCATTTTTGCCCCATCTTACACCACCCCTCTGGGGCTTTTGTTGTTTTTGATTATTTGTTCAGTGACTTGTCTGTACTATTTTATTTTATTTTATTTATTTATTTTTGAGACGGAGTCTCACTTTGTTGCCCAGGCTGAAGTGCAGCGGCGCGATCTCGGCTCACTGCAACCTCCTCTACCTGGGTTCAAGCAATTTCTCCTGCCTCAACCCCCCGAGTAGCTGGGATTACAGGTGCACGCCATCGCACCCAGCTACTTTTTTTGTATTTTTAGTAGAGATAGGGTTTCACTATGTTGGCCGGGCTGGTCTTGAACTCCTGACCTCGTGATCCACCCACCTCAGTCTCACAAAGGGCTGAGATTACAGGTGTGAGCCGCCATGCCCAGTGGCTGTACTATTTTAATTGAGTCTGTTACTCTTGTAGTGTGAACTGTATAATGCGGTTTCTCAGAGAGCACTGCCCTGGGCATGTGCACAGTCACTCTGTGATGACAGTAAATTAGTAGGGCTCTCTTTGTCTCTTTCCTTGATTTCTCTGCCTAGCTCTTTGCTTCCATTGGTATTTTACCTACCTGTTAGGTTTCACTGGTTGCTAGTTACTCTATTGTTTTTGGCAATGCCTTGGGACATAAATCACTCCCCAACTGATTCAGTTATACTTGGGCTCTTTTGCAGGATTAGTTTTGAGGCCAGTCTTTAAGGTTTGTTCTGACCCTAGGGGGGTTCTTCTTGGTTGTAGCTTTCCTTAGTTATCTCTGATAAACTACCTGGCCTACAGTTTTACTTGTTTTCCTTATTTAGCTAATAAGCCTCTTCTTAATTACTTGCCTCAAAAATCCTGATTGTTTTCCAGAGAACCTGTAGGCTTAAACTTTCCATGTGCTATTACTAATAAAGTCAGTTCATTTGGTAGAGCTTTGGTGCTCTTTTTTATTGACTGCCTCTTGCCCTTGGCAAAATCTTTGAGCCACACCTTGGGAGCTGTGGTTGGAATAGTGGCTTGCTTCTCTTGGAGTGACATTCCTCTCTGCAAATAGGGCTCTGAGTATCTACTGCCTCGGGTCTTTATGGTTTGCCTCTCCCAGTATGGATCCTCCACCATATGAGTGAGTCAGGGTCAGGGTGATCAAGGCCCCAACATTCTTAGCCTGCTCTGCAAAGTCACTCTGGAATGAGGGTAGGTTAAGGACTCTCTTTGTCTTTTTCCTTGATTTTTCTGCTAAGCTCTTTGCTTCCATTGGTATTACACCTACCTGTGAGGTTTCACTGGTTGCTAGTTAATTACTCTATTGTATTTGGCAATGCCTTGGGACGTAAATTGCTCCACATTTGATTCACTTGTATTTGGGCCCTTTTGCAGGATTAGACATAGAACTTCTGGTCTGTTAGTGGGGATTGGGTAAGGGAAAAGGGCTCATGACCTCTGGGTCACAGCCTCAAGAGATTTAGCCTCTGCAACCTATTAGTATCTCTTGACTGGGAGCTGAGGGAAGAGGGAGCCCCATCTTCTTGATCATATTTCCCAAAGAGTGGAATTTTAATCATACTAAACTGGGGTAGAAGAAGGGAGGCAGTGAATTTGTGGCTCAGATGAAATACTCTCACTCTTCCTACTGAGATTTAGTAGATTTTCTTGAGTAAATGTTTCTTCATTTGCTGTATACCCTTAAGACAGTTTTCAGGCACTTATTTATTTATTTTTTTAATTTCCACAGTTTTTTTCACTGGGGAGCAAGTCTGTGGAGATCCTCACACCGCTATCCTGGATGTAGTTTTCTGTCATTTAAGATAGTACACTACTCAAAATGTCAGGCTATCACTCCTGTTTTGGAATTTTCTCTTGAGTAAGCATATTTTTCACAATTTTGTATCATAATTAAGGGTAGGCTCATGCTTTTTGATAGCTTAAAGTTTAAAAGGGAATGTTTCTTAATATGAAAATGAAGTTGATATTACCTAATATTAGTCATTAACTTATTGAGTTAATTACTCTGAAATTTTGTTTCTATATTTTAACTAAAGACAATTAATTAGAATGTGCCAATTAATGATTTTTAAGTCTTCACGAACAACTCCAACATGGCATAGTTATAAAATAGACACCTAGAAAAACCTCATTTTCCTTAGAATGCTGTCCACTTGTTTCTATTAAAACATACTAATATAGCAAATATTGATTGATGAAAAGCAGGCTATTAAATATAGTTTATAATCTTGAGTTGTAAAGAATTATGAAGAGGATGAGGCATTATCCACCAGTGATGTAATGTAGCCCTAAGGATATGTACAAGGAAATAGCTTTTTTTTTTTTTATGTTTCCTTCCTTTGTGTGGAGCTGTTTTCCTGTGGTACTTTTGTATGAAACTCTTACCTGGCACTCACTGAGGATGTGAGGTGGTGAGACATGACTGACCCTTCAAACATTTTTAGGAAACAAAAACAACACAGATGCAGAGGTTTTTAATTGGAAATTTGTGCTATATCAGATTTAGATCAGGTTTTAATAAATCATACTAGAGGTTTTACACTTCAGGTTATACAGAATGCCCATTCGGAAATGATGCTATTGAATTTGAAGAAATTTTTCCATGTCTGAAACTTGAGTGGAGCCTGTGATACAGCTTTTTCCTGCACTAGAACAGTGACTGTAGTGAGTCAGTAGAACTTAAGAAAATTCTTAGAGCCGTTCCAAAGATCTAGACCAGCTTGTTTTACACTTTTTGGATCTGATTCATTTCCAGGATAACTGTACTACCATTCCTTTGATGGACTTTAATTGCTTTCAAATTACACTGGAATTCAGTCAGCCTCAACAGGAATTTTCCTATGAAAATATAATAGAATCTGGCCCAAAGGGACTTTTCAAAAATGCAGATTGAGGTCTATGCATTGCATGAAAACATTTTCTTTTATAACATGAAGATACTTCTTTATGGCATACAGGAAATCTATTGTATTATAGCACAAGACTGAGATGAAAGCTGACCCCTTGTAATTTTAGTCATATTAAATAAATTTTCTTGCAAATGCTTTTTGAACGAATCTCATTTGAATGAAATAATCTCTTAATATGAAACTATAATATACATGATTTCTTTTTCATATTTTTACTCACTTATGGAAATTATCTTCATATGAAATAGTTCCAGATACTCAAGAAAAATATTTGGAACTCTTAAAAAAAATCACGTTCAAGTCTAGTGAAGTCTCTTATGATAGTTTTGCAGAAAGGGAACTGCCTCCGCTCCTTGGCTCAGTAGTCACGATGGCCAAACTCAGCCTCGTACATACTCAGAAACAGGAAGAAGTTTAAGAAGGACAGGGAGGAAGCAAGTATGAAGCCTGTAATTCCAAAGATTATTTTCTGAGTCCACAGAGAGGAAATGTGAGCACTGTTCTCGTGGGTAAATTGGTCTTCCCAGGAAGAGGAGCTAATGCTTCTAGTGTGCAAGGAGATTATTTTCTCTTTTTTAAAATTTTTATTTTTAGAATTAGTATCTTGTTTTGTCTCCCACACTGCAGTGTAGTGGTATGATCATAGCACATGGCAGCCTTCAAGTCCACACTTGGCTACATTTTTAAAAGATGTTTTTAGAAACGGGGTCTTGCTATATTACCCAGGCTGGTCTTGCACTCCTGGCCTCAAGCAATCCTCCCTCCTCAGTCTTCCAAACTGCTGGGGTTACAGGTGTGAGCCGCCACCCCTGGCTGACTTTCTCATTCATGCAAGTATAAGGTAATGTCTAAGTGGCACTCTACTGGAGAGACGAGTAGCAGGTGAGTGGTTAACTCCAAGGAACAGTACATCTCACCTAGGTTAGGACTGTTATTACTGTTAGTGCTTGCACAAAACTATGTATTTGAAGCATTTCATGGATATTGATTACACTTGTTAGTTATGACCCTCGGGCTCCAGCCTTGTGTTCCTCTGTTATCAGAGCTTCCTTGAGAAAGCTAATAAGTCCATTGCTAACTTTTACATCTTTGGCAAGAGAACACATATTTTCAGTGCCACCCTGGGAGGCCTTACTTATGTTTACCATCACATGCATTTGTATTTGTCAAATACATGCTTATTATCAAATCATTATACTGTAGAAATGAGTTCAAAGGAGACAGACAATGTTTGAGCCAATAATGTTTTTTTTCTTTCTTTCTTTCTAAATTGTCTTTTAAAAACCAGCCAGATAAGATGACAGACTTGATACCTGGGCTTCTTTTCTGCAACTTTTAAGTTCAGGGGTACATGTACAGGATGTGCAGGTTTGTTACATAGGTAAATGTGTGCCATGATGGTTTGCTGCACAGAACATCCCATCACCTAGGTATGAAGCCCCACATCCATTAGCTATTCTTCCTGATGTTCTTTTATGGCTGCGTAATAGTCCGTGGTGTATATGTACCACATTTTCTTTATCCAGTCTACCATTGATAGGCATTTAGGTTGATTCCATATCTTTGCTACTGTGAATAGTGCTGCAAAGAACATACATACACATACATGTACCATTATAATAGAATGGTTTATATTCCTTTGGGTATATACCCAGTAATGGGATTGCTGGGTCAAATGGTATTTCTGCCTCTAGATCTTTGAGGAATCGCCACACTGTCTTCCACCATGGTTAAAGTACACTCCTACCAACAGTGTAAAAGCATTCCTTTTTCTCCACGACCTCCTCAGTATCTGTTGTTTTTTGACTTTAATAATAGCCATTCTGACTGGTGTGAGATGTTTAACTCATTGTGGTTTTGATTTGCATT